ATCACTTGTCACTCAAGTTCCAGTTACCTCAGTCCTTTCACCCCTAAAATTTTATCTTGGGCTGCTGTTAATATGGAAACCTCCTTACAGGTCTGAAAAGAATTTCACTGGAAATAACCTTCATAAACATCCTGAGTGCAAAACGTTTCCAAACAGGTTTTATGAAAGCAAGAAAGGACAACATTACCCCTTCCTTTTTGCCTTGCCAAAGCATCTTCCGTTTCTTCTCTTGCTCAGCAAATTTCATTGGATTCACTGCTGCGGGGTTGTAATAGCTGGGAACAGCTATTCCAGTCTCTGCTAGTGCTTTCGCCTGCAGGGCTGCCATCTGAGCTGCCATTGCTATCTGAGGAGTGACTTGTGTTCCCGATGCCAGAAGAGCAGCAACATTAATAACGGAGCCTCCAGTGGCTGCGGCCGCTGAAGAAAAAAAGGTAACTTGCTATCACAGGAAATTCAGAAGTTTTTGGAAAAAAACCCAAACCAAGTGACAATAACAAAATCCAACAACACGACCCCCCCGCCCCCACAGAACCCTCAAAAACTTCCCTCATCAGAAACAAGCTGAAAATGTCCCAATAACAAATGCATGCTAAAATAAGTGTTATTTGCAAATTAAGAAACAAGCCTTCCATAGTTTTAGTAAACCAGAACTACAAGTGGAACAATGTCCCTCATGCTTCTAAATCCCCCCGAGCTGGTAACAGCTTTCATATTCTTACCTAAGGGCATATAAAGGAAGGGTCCAACAACCATCATAAAGTCACTTACCAGCCTAGCATACATTTTTTGTTGCAAATCAGTAAGTGATAAAAATCCTGATCACTTTTGCTGAGATTCTAAAGTTAGGGCTTTTTTTTTTCTTTTCCCCCCAAATGTTTCCTCATTCTAGTTGTGGTTCTTATATGTGGACCAAGTTAAGCATTGTACAAACCATCATAAAATCACTTACCAGCCTAGCATACATTTTTTGTTGCAAGTCAGTAAGTGATAAAAATCCTGATCATTTTTGCTGAGATTCTAAAGTTAGGGCTTTTTTTTCTTTTCCCCCAAATGTTTCCTCATTCTAGTCGTGGTTCTTACATGTAGACCAAGTTAACGTAAACCAGAACTACAAGTGGAACAATGTCCCTCATGCTTCTAAATCCCCCCGAGCTGGTAACAGCTTTCATATTCTTACCTAAGGGCATATAAAGGAAGGGTCCAACAACCATCATAAAGTCACTTACCAGCCTAGCATACATTTTTTGTTGCAAGTCAGTAAGTGATAAAAATCCTGATCACTTTTGCTGAGATTCTAAAGTTAGGGCTTTTTTTTTTCTTTTCCCCCCAAATGTTTCCTCATTCTAGTTGTGGTTCTTATATGTGGACCAAGTTAAGCATTGTACAAAGCAAGACAACCTGCACATCCGTTGGTGCAGGCTTATGTGTTGAGTGTTAAGAGTCCTGTCCATCTTCCACTCACATTACTCTTTCAGAATTAGTGTAACAAACAGGAGTACCTGCAGCCATTTCCTGTTGCTTCTGTTTTTCAACCATTTCCTTCTCTCTCTGTTCTTGTAGTTTCTTTGCTCTTTCCAGTCTGGAATAAAGTACATGAGAATAAACATATTTAGACATACAAAATTAACAGCAGCAGCAGTTTATTTATGTCACAGGTCATCAAAACCATAACTTCTGACCTTCTGGCTAAAGCTTCCTGGGCATCCATAGCTGTATTTCGTCCCCGAAAAGGCGGCGGGCTCGGACTGCGGCTGGGACTCCTGCCGAACCTTCGGGGCTTTTCAATTCTTTTCTTCCGCTCTCTGTAACCAAATACAACAGAATTGCTAAAACAATGGAGGTATATGAAGTATACATATACACCCCTTAACATTTTATGAAGTATTTGATCACTACTGTGAAAAACTGCTTAATGACTCATCTGGAGAGCTCTCAAGAACAGCTTTCCCAGAAATTATACTACAACAGTCTAACAGTGACACTTCACCTTGTGAGAAGACAGAGCTACAACGGAAGATTTCCAGCTGCAAGATGTAACAGAACATGTAACTCTGGGTTTTCATTTACCCTTCTACACTTAGTGTTTAGAACAAACATATCTGCTTTAGAGATGTTCATTCTAAAGCTTGACAGGAAAAAACGGTGTAACTTTCAGGAAAGTCAACTGCAAGGAAACAGTAAAATGGATCAAGTTAGAAGAATGCTCTAAAACCACAGAAGACCCCACAGTGCTATAATTATGGTAAAACAGAGCATTCTGAAGAGGCCTGATTTAAAAACTGGAATACTCCTCAAGGAAATTCCTATTTCTCTGTCCTCTGCACACTCCACTAAATGTGCTTTAGACAATTGTTTAAGGGAAGCTACCAAGCTAAATGGGAGAGCCAGTGTAAGCACATAGGATTTGTCTCAGGTTTGCTCCTGAGGACAGTACTGTGCAGACAAGTATGCACTATCTAGAGCCTCAATTTGAAAAGAACTCAATTAAAATTTATTTTTAAGCAAAATTTCAAAATATTCATTTCAATCCTCCTTTAGGAAACTCCTCCCCACTTCTGCCCAAAGAGAAGTTGTTCTTATGATCTACATATCTAGTCCTCTCTAAGCACCAGCAGCTCAAAAGGCAGGCATAAAGTGCTATCAGCAGTACTTCTCTTTACCAGGATCACAAATACCTACGTTACAAGAGATAAGGGTTTATCCCTGTTTAAGCCTCTGATACAGACATTTTAAACAAAGAAGTCACAGATACTGGAAGTGTCCAAAAAAGCTTAAATTACAGAGGCTATCATTCACATTTTTCCCACATTCACCATACACAGTAAGTTGAGATGCACAAAGATGTTTCTGCACTTCTATACTTGTATGTTAGTACCAAGCATCTGAGATAATAGCTAAGTTGAGATAACAGCTAACTTGGCATCCACCACTTTAAATGGCATTCAGCTATTCTGTTTCTTCTGTTTGCAATTTGGACAGCATCTACAAATACCATGAAACGTAGACTGAAGTTACAAAAAGAGATCCTTGTTTACATGACAAATCTGGTAGAATACAAAGGAGGGAAGACTTATCTTTTCATAGAAGATGACAAGATGCAGATTCAGGCACTGGGAAGTGACAGATCTGCATTCCTGAGATAAGATGTAATGCATGTTTCAAAGATACCTTCATTTTTCCCGTGCTGACTATTGTAGTTTGGTCTTGTCTTTGGTCTGATGCTTTATTGCACTGGTAAACATCAAGGAAATAAATATTTGAGCTTTTGTATTTAAGTATTTCCATTTGAAACAAGCAGATGGTGTCATGTTTTCCATCTAGCATTTAATCAGAGCAATGCTACAAAAGAACTGCCAGGAAGGTCTACATGCTCACGGAACAAAAAGATTAAATGCTAGTGAGGACAAATCACTTGAAAACCTGAGTTTGAGATTATGCAAAGGACCATCATGGTAAAGCTCTACTATTCACAAATGCTTCTGTCATGGACTGTGAACTGTAACACAACAAAAAACGCACTGCACGGATGAGGGAATTCATTTCACAATTAAGTTTTGACAGCGTAGGCTTCCCATCATGTTTATCTGGCTTGTGAAGGGTTATTCCTTGAGGCTTGCCCCATAACTGTCCCTCCACAGGCTTCACCTGAGTCCAAAGCTCAACTAAGTGTTCTGGCTACTGTTAAAAGACTTGCACCTCACTTACTTTCCTTCTCCAGGCTTTGCAAGACAAAACCAGGGCTTTTAACAAATGGGTTCTTGCAGTACGTCCATCACTATCCAACAAGGCATATTTCCAGATGAAGAACTTCATGAGCTCCCTGATTTTTTCTCCCCACATTTGCTGTTCTGATTTAGATAACCTGAATTCTACTGCAGAAGAAGAAACTACTCCGGGATGAAGTTTTCACGGAGTCATTAAAGTGTTCAAAGTGATGTTTTTAAAAACAGTATGTGCATATAATCTATAATAACTGGAAATAACAGGGAAGTGAAGAATTAAACACGATGCTGAAGGTGGTTTGAATGCCACTAAATGCAAGCAATGTGTACACCAATTGAAGACCCAGCTCTACTCACCCCAGCTGAAAGTTTGGTAGGAAGCGTGTGCCAAAATTAAACATGACACAAACCACACAATTCAACTAGGTCTTCAGAAAAGTCTTCTTAACAGCTTCACAAGCGATGCTGTAGCATTATGTGAGTGTGCTACATTCTGAGATCTCCAGTGCTCCACGGTAATGCTGAGTAGCCATAACCAACTTCTACAGCCTTTAAACATGCAATTTAAAATACTCTAGTGAAAATGCTTCTAAATGAACTGGAACATGGGGAACAGTTTCTCAGGAGCTCTGAAGGGACACCAATTTGCATTCAAGCTACTTGTTTTACTTCAAACAAAGAGGAGGGAAAAACCATAACTGAAGTAGTCATTAAACTATATCTCAGCTTACTCATTTTGGAAATCCTACAGGACATTAAGAATGCAAAGGTGACAGAAACTCATAACTCTACATCAAAATGCTGATATATCCATCAGTACTGGAAAACATTAACTTCCATACAGTGATGAAAACTTCAACTCTAGCAAATTCCAGGTGAAGCAAGGATCTTTACTCTGTCCAACAGACCCAGAATAAGCTAGTATGTGTCTAGCTAGAGGGTTGCAATACATGCGTCTAGAATTTAAGGTTAAGGAAGAAATGGAAGCACCCAATACAGGGAGAAAAAATAATATGATAAATATTCTCATGTTGAACTTGAGAAAAAGGAATTGGTAATCACTAACACAGAATAGTACATTTAGATCAGAAATAGTCCATCTGACTCAAAATTCACCTTAACACTAACTATGCCAGTTCACAGACAAGACAAATTCTAAAATTCATTTTGTGGAGCTAATCAGGATTAACTTCTGATCAGCTAGTGATTCCCAGTTAAACTTCTCTTTTGTGAAATATACACAAGACAAATACAATAGTACTTTTAAAGTAGCACTTTGCCAACCACACTACTCTTGTTTTGAATACACACAAGGGTTAGTTTTATCTTACTCTTCAGTTTTTACAACTTAAATCATCATTTACATTTCCTACTTAAAACAGTAAATTCTGTTGTGGTATAAGAAACCAAAAAGAATTGTGGTAACCATTACTATTCAAAATATTATTTACTTTATCAGTCTAAAGTTCTAAAATGGTTGTTTTCTAAGACACCCACAAGATAACTAGTTGAGTATTTCTAATTGCTAACCAGAAATCATGCTACAAAAAGCCAAGAATCTGAGACACTTCAGCTATGTTTCTCTAAGTTTATGGAAACAACCCAGCCCTTAACCCACTGTATGAACACAGCTGAGAAAAAGCAGAAAACTGAAGTTACACTGAACAGACGCTAACTGGCAAACCCACCATTCTACACATCAGCCTGTCACAAATCATTCAACCAAACACCACCACCAAGAGTACATGGAAGTTAACACTTACCTGCTTCTACTTCTAGTTCTGCTTTTACTTCTACTCCTATGTCTGTGTCTAGATCTTGATCTAGAACGAGATCTTATACGTCGTTTTCGCTCTCTGCTGCGAGATCGGGACTTTTTCCTATCACGGCTTCTACTACGATGACGTCTGAAACACACGTCCCAAATTCTTACATATATTCTCATGTTAAATTTAAGGACTTACATACAGGCTTGCTCGTCACCACAGGGCAAAATGCATCAGGTAGGGTGGGGAGACTGCAAACTACACACAGAAGAGTTCATGCCTGAACAGTTTAAGCTGTAAGACTAGGAGATGAAATGGGAAAGGAACCAAACACTTCCACTAACTGCAACAGACAAGTGTTACTTACGAAGAGTTTATGCAAACAATCATACTCATCAGCAGAGCCATTTTTAGTTCATTAAAGTGTAAAACAAATACTCATCTCAAAACAAATACACAGTCAAACTCATTTGATATAGGAGTCTTAAAATCAAGAGAACAGAACACTCCTCCTCCCCATGGTATTCAAGTACCTTGGGGAAGAGATGCCCAAATTTCAGCTGGTGAGTCACACACAGTCCCTCAGGGTATCATTAGCTGAAGCCTGTTCCTTGCTAACATGTTTGCTACAGATCCCTCAGCCCTGAGCAGAGCTGGCTGAAAAGTTCTGCTGGCAGCAACCCGTTTGTCCCAAGTGATTCTATCATGAGTGCCAGGTGGCCTACTGTGCAAGGAGGCTGAGACAGCACTGTCTCTGGGTAACCTCTTCTTCTAGTGGGTAAAAAGCTGTGACACTAACATGTATCTTCTTTCCCATCACTGACAACACAGAACATTTAATACACTCCATTTATAAGTCTTCTGTACTCTGTATGCTAATTATAAACACGAGACAGATGACCTATATAAAGCTTTAGATTTTGTGCTTTTACTCTGGACTAATACAAAAAAACACCAAACCAACCAAGTAGCAGCAACTGCACGACCCGATGAAAACTGTACCATGCAATATAAATTGATGCTTTAGAGTTAAATTAGTTCAGTAACGTAACTGAACTGTACTTCAGAAGCCTACACAAATTCCAAACACTGCTTCTGCAAATGCATTTAAATTACATGAAGCAACTTACCTTTCGCGGGACCTGGATCTTGAATGGCTCCTCCCTCTGGATGACTTTCTCTCCTTGCGTTTATGTCTATCCTCACCATTCTCAGATGAATTTAGGCTATCTCTTCCCTTGTCAGAAGAATGCTCTTTGTCATTGTGGTCTTCAGATTTGTGCTTCTTGGAGGACTTCTCTTTGGATTCATGTCTTCTTGCCTGTTTTAAGAAGAAGTTGGTTCTTTCAGGAAAATAGTGCAACAAAGAGAGTTAGTATGGGTATCAGAAGATAAAAAATGATAAGCTGTGATGCAACATTAGTAACCTTAGGAGTGTGACTCAATCATAAACGATGGCTATTTTACCTAATGCCACCAACTATCCAAAGTTGCAAATGCACGCTCTAATTTTGCCCCTGTTCCCTCCTCCCCACTGTCTAAAGGGTTTCTAGAACATCCACATCAAGGTATCTTTACAGTGTTTCTGTAAAAGGGTTCAGAGCAAACAAAACAACTGTCATTCTCAGGTACTGTCTCCATTCCAAACACATAATATGGACCTGACAATTTATGAATATGCATATATAGACACACATTTGTACTGAATACTTAATATTTGCCTAAGCTTGCCATGTAGAAAGTAACCAAAACCCAGACGTAATTGAACACACACATCATTTTACTTTTAGAACCAAAACAATTTTCTGTCCATCATTAGATAACTAATTTTTAGAGCAAAGCTCTCTTCAGTAAATTCCAACAGTTTTTAAAAAGCAAAATAATGCTACGTGGTTGATAGCCCATTTTTAGTATTTAAAATTAACATGTTTCACTCTAAGATCTCCCACAGTAGTTTTAAATTAAAGATATGTTGCTCCACTATACTGCAATTCTTCCTGCAGTGCCTCTTAAAAAAAAAAAAAATTACTTTTTATAGCTGCAATGCCAAAAATACTTAGCAAGGTCAGGCCTGATTTTTTGCCAGTGTTTTCCTTAGAGACTAAGCCATGACATCAACACCTTTTCTTAATATATCTAGTTCAGTTTGAAATCTTTCTAACAAAAAAGCACAGACCACTTAAGTCTTATGTTTAAATAGTATTTTGTTTCAAGTCACAATTTAAGCACAATATACTCATCTTAAACTAAACCCAATTTCATCAGTTTTGGAATTTTTTTCTGCTAATGTAAACCTGACAATTCTTGTAAAACCTCTCTTATAGTCATAACTCTCTATCAAAAGACACAAGTCGGGACAAGATGCTATTAGCTTATATCCACTTATCCAAGCCTTTCTAATTCCTTATTAATACACACCCATTTCTAAATGTATTTGACTGTAGTTCTTAAAGTAGACAATAACATTAGGTATTTTTTCTGCTTTTACAGCATTCTATTCTTAACTCCTTGAATAATCAGTTGTTACATAAAATCACATCTGCAGTTTGAGGTATTACCTGTACATTAATTTTAAGTGTGTATTTAGATAAGTAGTTGTTGTGCTATACATATTAAAAATTACTAATATTCAGTATTTAGTCTACAGAGCACTTCACCTTTTAAATGAAAACAGTAAATCTACTGTGGGATATTATTCCTCATCTCTTCAGTCTGTGAAACTTAGAAGCTGCTAAATAAATTTTATAAGCTTAGATTCAACAACATGACAAAACACTTGACAATTTTAACCAAGGACTTTTTTCAAACATTCAAAAGATTTTTTTTTATTTCAAGTCCCATCCTTCCAGACACACACTTAGTAATAAACCACCACTATAACCCATAACGGATTTAAGATATTTTTAAGGGAAATATGAGTTTGAATGACTAATAGTTACCTTATCATGAAGTAGGCTTATAATTTTGCTATCTGAGTCTGCAGCGTCTTCAGTTCAGTCTCTTCGCGCATTAGCACGCTGAGTATGATTTATTATAGAAATGTTATCATGTGAGCTAAACAATATATTCAATTTCACAAAAACTCTCCTAGATTATTTTTCTTTTCCTCTTTTTTTTTTTTCCTCTTTTAAACAGAGCTTCCATTTGAATGGGAGAAGGAGAAGTTCCTGACCCAGGTTAAAAGTTCAAAAGTCCCTCACATCTAACCCAGCCTGCTATTGCCCCCCATGGCTTAAGCTTCTTTGTGACTATTTTGTTGCTCCTGGTTTGCCCTTTTCATCTCTTTGGTGTGTAAGCCAGTTATTTTCCAGGTATCATTGATGCTGTCTCTTCTCGCTCCCTGATAGAAACACACATTTATATATTTAAAAAGAGACAGTTCTCCGAAATGTTTGCTGTCACTGTCATGTTTTTAGCTGACTCAGTCTGTCAAGCTATGACAGTATTTACAATTAAAGGGTGCAATAAACAGAGCTCAGACAGGTGTGGAGTTATTTTTAATATACTTAGGTAGATGAGTATTTATCACTGAAAGTCCTGAACACTGGCCAGGAATAAAGCCACCCAAGGCTTTTGGTTAATGGAAGCTCTGTGGAAGTCATCAAGAACACCATTCTACTTCTCCATATGAATTCTCTCTTTTGGCTGTTTCCACAAGAAAAAAAAAAAAATATTGTTACTTGTTTCTGAAAGCACTTTTCTATAAAGCTGTTACCTTGTCAATATGATGGCTTCAATCATGCTTCACTATGAAAGGATCTCCATATCCATTTTTAAGCTTAAAAGTCTCCAATTTATCGTACTTACCATAAAGTCATTTATATAGGTTTACACATGTGCATTACTACAAGATACTTTTTAAGATGTATTGTACAATTACCTAAACGCTACAAAGTTTTAATTACCTCTTTGCTTCTGCTCCGGCTTCTGTGTTTTCTTCCTTCAGTATCTGGAGAAGAAAAGGTTTATTGTTATTTACCAAGTTAAAGGAGACCAGCTGCCTATAATCTTTCTAGTTCCTTTCAGTTATTCCACCCCTCAAAGTCAAGAGTACAGCTTTTGAAGAAAAACAACACTATTCCAACATCTATGGCAGAAAGCAAACTCTTGCTGTTATTCCCAGTTCTTTGTTTGCATTTATTTAAGCTCTGATATGAAAAACTAGCCCATGTCATACTCCAGTCACATCCTCAGCCAGGTAATCTCATTTTTCTTAGAGCACACATGTCCCAGTCTAAGCATATCTAGTTAAAGCATATCTAGGGTGCTCCTGTCCCTCCCTTCCCAAGCCCTGAATATAGACAAGACTTTTCCTTAGCACTTGTACCATTAAAATTGAAAAGTTTTAATATGACTCATCTCAGATACAAAACCAAAATCAGTAGCTTCTTCCCCCCCCCCCCCCGATTCTAAAATCTGACTAGAGCTAAGTCTGTGTATTTTTCCCAAAGCACCTTTAAAGAGATTTCAGCTCTACAAGCACACACCAGAAAGTTTCTAAGCAACTCTGCTCATACAAAGACCATACCTGACTTCCGTCTTCTCTCCCTCGACCGTGAGCGTGATCTTGAATAATGATGCTTTGATGTTCTGGGAGAACTAGAGGCATCTGATTGTTCCTTTTTCTTCTCTCTTTCTGGAGAGGACTTCTCTGGAGCTACTCCATCTCGTTCTGTATCACTACCCTAGACAAGAAGACAGAATGTTTAAAACTCAAAACTTAGGGCTGAAACCAAAAAAAACCCTATTTACTTGGCACTTCCTCTAAAGACACTTCAAATTATTTTCAGTTGAAGACAATCTCATGACTAGCCATCCCATTATTAGTTAGGCAACAGCTTGATAGACTTGGGGTGAACTGTGTAACTGCATCCAGATTGATTTTTCAAGTAATAAAGACAGCTAATAGTAACAGCTTGTTCTCCCACAACACTGGGCTGTGCTTTACTTTTTCCACATGCTTCTGAGAATATCAGCAAGACTAAGCTGTGATCCAGTCTTCTCTAGATGATGGTGTTTGTAGGTGAATTACCTTTTAACATTTTAACACTGCTAAGATTACTTCAGGGCAACACTGTCCCAACAGATGCAAGTCATCTCACAAGTTAGGGCATTACTGAGGTCAGTACAAATCCTCACAGGATTCTGAAGTACAGAATGAACTTTGAAGAAAACCTGAAATTCACTATATTAGTGTTAGCTAACTTTTGAATAAGGAAAAGCCTCTAACAACATCTCTGTGGAAAAAGTATGTATTTGCATGGAAGCACACATCCACCTCTCCCAACAACTTCTGCATCACGTTTTTCTTAGATGACAGAAGCCAAGACACTCCCTCCATCCCTTCTAAACCATGACCTACAAGGCCTAAAGCCAGAAACTCTCCTGTAGAGCAGTCAAGACTGTTTTGTGATTCAACGGAAAAGGGAGAAGTAAACATGCACAACTGCTGTCCAATGCAATGAAAGCAACAGGGAAGTACACACTGAAAAGGTGACTGTGCTTCCATTAAAGCCTTTGCAGATTCAGAGGCCTCTCTCGTTCTGATTATGCAAACTAACAGTCAGTCATACCCAAGCCTTCTGAACATCCTGTGGCTGCAGAACATCTCACTAAGGACATAATCTGGCCCAGAAATGCTATTCAGGAAGATAATTTAGCATAACAAAGGACTCCAACTTGCATGTTTTTCTATCCGCTGCAGTTTTACTTGCTAATTGAACAAGACATGTGAAAACTTCTCAAATGCTGATTTATATTCACAACTCTGGAAACAAAGCAGTCACTTTTTCCTAAACCACAACAGCTATTATAGATTGCCATTAATATATTGTGTATTAAGGGTGGACTATCTTCATAATACGCTACAGGGAAATACTTTGATTTATATTTCACCAACTACTGTTTAGTCTGCCCAATTCTTTATTAAATGACTAAATTTACATCCATACAGATAGACCTATAGTAAAATCTCTTTTTAAGAGTGAGATAGAGCAGCTGCTCACTTCTCCACTGGCACAGCATACTGATATCTAGTTCAAAATGCACCAGCACATGGACAACAGCACTGACTGCTTAAAACTACACCTGCAGTAGAGCTTGAAATAGTCTTAGTTACCCTTCTGAACACTATTAATACACCACCCACTATCCTGAAAACTTCAGAACGCTAGATAAGGAGTACTAACTGCCTCCTCTACTTGTGATTTCACTCATCAAAATCCTTGGCATTCCACATGTATCTATCACCTGCTTATCTACACTTCCACCCTTCGACTCAGCCCCTCCCTTCCTCAGCTCAGGTTTCCAAAAGTGAGCCAGAAGTTTTAAAGGAATTTTGTGTTTTCTATGAATTTACATTTTGAAGTCATTTGAGAAGGGTAGGGGCAATACCACCTAAGAACCTAAGTTAACTGGGGTTTTAAACATAGCACCCAACAGAAATTGAACCCACTGCCACATTTTCCAAGGCTCCCAGTTTCACTCTTCATACACATTAGCACTCAATAATGCTCTCGTGCACTGCCCCCAGAGAAATCTCTCAGATCTACACGAATAGACAGAAAAAAAAGGCTGACAGACTTCAACGAGACTGCTGTCAGCTCTTAAAATACATGTGGCTTGGCCACAACCTCTTTCACTGAGCAGTGCCCTCACCGACTACGTCACATAGAAAACTCAGAGATAGAACCTGTAACCTAGGTACAAAACTACAAGTTTATAATTCAAGTTATTTTACAGAAAATTGAATCTTATTCTTAACAGTCTAAGTTACAGAAACTGGAAAAGTATCATTAAAAAAAACAATTTTCTCCAGAAATTTAAAGTCCTCTTGTTCTGTTTCACCACTGATCAAACTTTCAAGACAAGAACTTTAAATACCAGATTAAATATCATAAAACACATAAGGCAACTTTGAAGTGTTTAATTACTTTAGAGTCTGGTTTGTTTAGGTTTTGGTTTGGTTTTTTTTCACTCAAGACTACTTGAATAACTTTTGAAAAAAAATTAATCCCATCAGGTTTAGTTAGCCACTCTTACTAGTTCTTAAGTGAATGATGGAACAAACACCGTTGCCTGTTACCAGACCATCCCAATTTTGAAAAATAAAACTACGCTTTTAGGCCGTGTATGAACATAAAATACAGGGATAACTACAGCAGAGGTGCATCCTGTCGATATTAACCACATAAACAGGAGGACAGGGCCAAATAATTAATCACTAAGTGCAAGAAGACACTGAAAACAGCAGGCCTAGGACCAAACTCACAAGAAAAATAATAGGACAGGGAAAACTACATGAACAATACCTGAGCATGGCCCAACGGCCAAATCCTTCCCTCTCCCTTCCCAGGGAACCTGGCCCTACAGTCCCCCCCAAGAAGCGCCTGCTCCCAGAGCCACAACACTTCTCTCCTCAGGCAGCACACAACAGGGACTCGATCACAAGGCCTCTTCGTTTCTCTCCAAACCCAGAGAAATTAAACAGAAACTTCTGGAACCCAGGAGAGAAGTTAATGGGTGAAAAGCGGCCACCCCCTCCCCGAGGCCCATCATGGCGCCGGCAAGCGAAGGAGCGGCGGGCGCCATTTTGTCTCTCCGCGCACACGGCTTCCCGACCCGGCC